AGGTCTTGATACTTTCATATTCTTTATCCAAATTGATTGTCATAATATTTCAAGTAATGCCTACTGGATGGTACATTCTTACTCTTAAAAGGGCTGGTGAAGATGCTATACTTCAGCCCTGGTAGGAAAGACCACATAACTTGGTGAATATGAGATGCATAGTGGGAACAGACCTGCACCTAGCTAAAAAGACTAAAAATTAAAATTATAAATTCCCTTTTATGGGACACCAAAGATTCAGAGAGATCCAAAGGATAGACAAGCTGAAATAAATCTGAGATTATCTGACAGAGGACTGTGTAATAGAACTTTCTTCAATGATGTTCTGTATCTGACCTTCCTAATACAGTAGCACCACCACATGTCACTACTGAGCACCTGAAATGTGTCTAACAAGACTGAGGAACTGAGTTATTAATTTTAAATAGCTATTGAGTATCATAACAGACAACACAGAACTAGAAAACCTAGACTAAATGAAAGAATGTGAAAACAGAAGCTACGAACACCCTCAGATATAAATATAGACCACTTTCACAATTACATTTTTTTTGGTTGTATTATTGATCTTGAACAAACCTTAGTTATTGCACCTGTGAAATATGGAATAACACTAGAAGCTCATAGGGTTGTTGTGATTAGACAATGAAGGTAAAGCACCTAGCCCAGAGCTAGGTACAAAACAGATAATAAGTAAATGATAGCTGTTATTATCAAGCTCCCTGTTTTCCAGATGGAGCAAGTGAAATTCTGAAAAGAGAAGTGACTTATTGATAGATACAGAGCTACCTGGCCACACAGACAGGAGCCAAATCCATATTCTATCTTGTTTTTGTTTTCTTTGTTTTGTTTTGGTACTAGGGATTGAACCTAGTGTTGCTTAACCACTGAGCCAGATTTCCAGTCCTTTTGATGCTTTATTTAGAGACAGGGTCTTGCTAAATTTCTTAGGTTCTTGCTAAGTTGCTAAGGCTGGCTTTGAATTTTCGATCTTTCTGCCTCCATCTCCCAAGCCACTGGGATTACAGGCATACCCCATCACACCCAGCCTTCCCATGTTTTATGATAATTATTTTTCTTATAGAGACTAACCTCCTTCACCCTTTGTCTTAGTCAGTTTGAGCTACTATAATAGAACACCATAGACTGGGTGGTAAACAACAAACATTTATTTCTCACAGTTTTGGAGGCAAGAGAATCCAAGCTCAAGGCATCAAAGGAATAATGATGGGTGAAGACCCTCTTCCTAGTTGCAAATGGCCATCATCTCATTGTGTCCTCAAGTGGCCTAGAGACAAATAACTTCTCTCATGCTTCTTCTTTTAAAGGCACTAATATCATGTCTGAGGGTTATACCAGCACAACCCCATTATCTCCCAAAGACCCTACCTCCTGATAACAACTACTTTGGGGGATAGGATATGAAAATATGAATTTGTGGGTGAACAAATATTCAATTCAAGCATTCTACCTACTGCACCCAAAATTCATGTTATTCTTCTTTTTAAAAAAAATATTTATTTTTTTAGCTGTACACAATACCTTTATTTTGTTTATTTATTTTTTATGTGGTTCTGAGGATCAAACCCAGGGCCTCACACTGCTAGGCAAGCGCTTACCACTGAGCCACAACTCCAGCCCCAAATTCATGTTCTCATATTAAAATATAATCATTTCATACTGACAAGCCATGAAGTCTTAACTCTTTCAATTCAAAAATCTAAAGCTCAAAAAGTCTCATTTAAATATCTGAATCAGATAAGGGTGATCCTGAAGATACATTCACCTTGAGGCAGAATTCCTCCCCAGCTATGAACCTGTGATACCAAACAAATAATGTACTTCCAAGAAAAAAAAAAAAGACAGGATAGGGAAGCCATTCCCATTCTGAAAGGGGGAAAGATAAAATAAGGAAGGAGTGATGGGTTTCAAGCAAGACCAAAATCTAACAAGGCAAACTGAATGACATCTTGAGGCTCTTTGCCTTGATGCTCTGGTGTTCAGGCCCACTAGGATGGCAATGTCACCTTTACACATCTTCAGGTATGTTACGCCCCTTTATCCAGGTGGGAAACTGTCAATGCCACTGTGGACAGTAGAAAGGGGGCTGCCACATTGCTTTCTGCAGTGGTACCTTCCTTGAGTCAGTGTGCAACAGAATCACAGTCTTCAATACTAGAAAGGCAACATTACCCTTTGCAACAGAGAAGGAATTAGATTTGCCCCCATGGCCTATGATGGGTGTGGCAATCCTGATGGTTTCTGAATTACCTATGTGTCCTCTCACTTTTCTTGAAGAAGAGCTCCTGTTCAGAGACTTCATTCATCCTGTTGTCTGTTTCCTTTAGTCCCACCTGGCAGTGATTCTGCTGGTATAATCCTATTTCTATGTAGGCTTTCCTTTGGATTACTGATTAGATTCTGGGTTTATACTCAAACTAAACACATCAAATAGTCATTCAGCCACATTATTCATGCTTTGTTCAGAACCTTCTTTCTCATTATTTACAATATGAATAGAGAATTTTCCAACACTTTAACTTCTGGTTCACTGTTGCTTAAGACTTCCTTCTTCA